ACTCAAGTTTACCTGTAACAAGTGAAGTACTTTTCGAACGCGCTTTAGTTACCTATAAACTGTGAGTAAATTCGGAAAGGACTTAGGTTCCTCCAAATACTGCAGTACCTATCTAAAGCACTAAGTTACTATAACTAGTGAGTAAATATCTAAAGGACTTGGGTTACTATAAACTAGTGAGTAACTATCCAAGCGACTTTAGCTACTATAAAATAGTGCGTAAATATCTAAGGGACTTAGTTCCCCTAAATAGTGAGTCAATATCGAAAGCGACTTAGTTCCTATACATAGTGAGTAAATATCTAAAGGACTTAGTTACTATAAATAGTGAGTAAATATCTAAAAGGACTTAGTTACTATAAATAGTGAGTAAATATCTAAAGGACTTAGTTACTATAAATAGTGAGTAAATATCTAAAGGACTTAGTTACTATAAATAGTGAGTAAATATCTAAAGGACTTAGTTACTATAAATAGTGAGTAAATATCTAAAGGACTTAGTTACTATAAATAGTGAGTAAATATCTAAAGGACTTAGTTACTATAAATAGTGAGTAAATATCTAAAGGACTTAGTTACTATAAATAGTGAGTAAATATCTAAAGGACTTAGTTACTATAAATAGTGAGTAAATATCTAAAGGACTTAGTTACTATAAATAGTGAGTAAATATCTAAAGGACTTAGTTACTATAAATAGTGAGTAAATATCGAAAGGACTTAGTTACTATAAATAGTGAGTAAATATCTAAAGGACTTAGTTACTATAAATAGTGAGTAAATATCGAAAGGACTTAGTTACTATAAATAGTGAGTAAATATCTAAAGGACTTAGTTACTATAAATAGTGAGTAAATATCGAAAGGACTTAGTTACTATAAATAGTGAGTAAATATCTAAAGGACTTAGTTACTATAAATAGTGAGTAAATATCTAAAGGACTTAGTTACTATAAATAGTGAGTAAATATCTAAAGGACTTAGTTACTATAAATAGTGAGTAAATATGTGAAGGACTTAGTTACTATAAATAGTGAGTAAATATCTAAAGGACTTAGTTACTATAAATAGTGAGTAAATATCGAAAGGACTTAGTTACTATAAATAGTGAGTAAATATCTAAAGGACTTAGTTACTATAAATAGTGAGTAAATATGTGCACTTTTCAGCGTGTAGTATCTGGTTATAAACATGAATATTCTAAGTACATGATTTGTTAGTGCCCCCCCACCCCCCCTCCCCCCCCTCCTACCTGGAACACGGGCTTCTGCGTCCCGTCCCCCGCCCCGTGTCGGCTGTAGATGTGCCGGGACATCTCGGCCAGCTCGTCGGTCCAGGGCGGGGGCGGCCGCTCGGTTCCGCCGCTCCACCGGGCCGCCGGTTCCAGTTTGGTTCTAGTGCCGCTTCACGGGGAGAGACGAGGAGACGCGGAGGAGGAAGATGCGTCCCGTTTTGCGGCAGCATCGCATCTGCCCCCCATAGCTCACTGGTCTTCCGTGGTGGTGCGTTCAGGGACAGAGCGGACATCTCAGTAACAAATAATCGATTAAACCAATAACGTTTCTGCAAGAACCGTAATTTCATATTGAATCGGTTTTGTAGGTGTGTTCATACCTATTCATCATCTACTTTATTCATGTTATTACTTGTTTTCATCATGTTCTTTTTTTAGGATTAGGGACAGTTCTATTTTCTTAAAAATGAAAAATATATACGCATCTATAAATATGTACAATATAATTATATACACACGTTCAATCATTTAAACTGGGCTGCACTGGTTGCTATTCTATTCTAGAAATATGCATTAAACGCACAGATAAAATATTAAGAATCCTCTTTATTAGTTGTGTCTATTGTCATTTCTAAATATTGAGACACAAAAACAAGAATACGATCACGTTAGCAGGATATAGTTGATGTTTCTTTTATTGGAGCTGGACTCTACGATGAGCACATGAAGGCAGCATGACTTAGCAAAATAGGTGTTTTAGCACATTTATTCTCTTTATTGAATTGAAAAACCTGATTTAAATTAAAGACAAAATTGAATACGGTGTCGTTGTGGTGCAGGGGTTAGAGAAGGTGCGCTGGGAAGCACGATGTTGGTGGTTCGAGTCCAGGCTGCCCCATGTTCCATGTCGAAGTGTCCCTGAGCAAGACACCTGACCCCTAATTGCTCCCCAGGCAAAAATGTGAAAAAGCCACGTGTTTAAAGTGTAATGTAAGTCGCTTTGGATAAAAGCGTCTGCTAAATGACATGTAATGTAATGTAAAACTTCCCCTTATGAAATATAACAAAAATAACCCAAAGAAATCGTGCTCACCTGCAGCGGTATTTAAGAAGGACGCTTGGCCCTGAACATATTTAAAGAGCAGAGCGAATTAAAGGGCAAAGTTAGATGAATAACTCATAACTTGTGATTAATGACCTCATAATTAGTGCTAATGAGGTGCACAGTTACCACCGTACCCTTAATTATATAAAAGCAATTACTGAAAAGGCATCCGAGTCGAAACACAGGCAAGAAAAGAAATCCTCCACACAGGTACATTTATTTTTATTTCAAAGACTATGATACATTTGCTCTGTTAAAAAAAGCATTGTTGGTGTTTTCAAATCCTGGATAAAAGGAGCTTTTCCTGGAATATTTGAAATGTACAGAATCATACATATGCAGCAGACTCTTTGATTCCTACAGAAGAAACAAGGCCTCAGTGGTAGAGAAGACTTTACAAAGCTAAGGTGCAACCGGCTATCTTACATCTAGTATACATAATAATATTAATTATAATTACGTCCCGAACTTAAGATTATTTTGGCTGGGAAAAAAAACAGTAAAGCAGAAGAAAGAAAGAAAGAAAGAATAATTACACAGCCATGTAAATCATACAAGTATAATGTCTCATATATATATATAAATCAGGCGAAGTGTGCAGACATAACAAGTACACACACACACACACACACACACACACACACAGAATGAAGCAAGCTGCAGACTTTAAAAAAATGACACCGTAAGGAGGAAACAGTTTTGAGTTACAGCAGATCAATCAGAAAATGTTGTTTAGTAACGGGGACAATAATAAAGTGTGCACTTTATATTCAAAGGAAAAGTGTTCAGCCTACTGGGGGGGGGGGGGGGGGCAAAGGTCATCAAATGACCCGGGACCGCTCGGTAGCAAAGGAGGAGGAGGAGGAATAGCGGCGCGCTACCTGTCAATCTCCTGCAGCCGCTCGTCGATCATGGGGTTCATCTGCTCACACGCACCTGGGGGGGGTTACAGAGAACACAGTTAGCCACGGAGCTGCTGCTTCCCCTCTCGAGGCTCCGCCCCGCCTCGCAGCGCCGTACCCTCCAGCTGGATCAGCTCCGCCGAGTCGGGAGCCGGGTGGGCGGGGTCAGCGTCCTGCAGCAAAGCCAGAGTCCTGTCCATCGTCCCCTGGGGAGACAAGAGGAGGTCGGTCTCTGCACTTAAGACGGGCGGCGGGAGCACGAGGGCGGTGAGCGCTACCTCGTCGATGCAGACGGGCTCGGGCTTCTCGCTGGCCTCCTGGACCGTCTCCTCGGGGCTGGGCGTCTTCTCGGCGAAGGCCACTGGGGGGGGGAGAAAGCGGAGGTTAACCGAGCCGGCGTGAAGCGGCTCCTTGGTCGGGACGCCCGACATGTGTCGGACCGACCTGTCTCCGGCTCGGCGTGCAGGTGGCGGTGACGAAATTGGACGGGAAGAGCCGAACTCTCGGTGGTTCTCTCTTTTCCACCAGTTGGGATCGCTGTGAACAACAAGCAAGAAGTGGGACAAAGTGTCTCGGGACAATAATGTTGTGCGCGGGCGCCACGTGGATGACGGACGTCACCTGTCGTCCAGAACCAGGATCAGCTCCCCGGCTTTGAAGGTCAGCTCGTTATCCTCAGCTGCTTCGAAGTCGTAGAGCGCTCGCACCTTCCGCGCCTCCTGCCCCCCGGGGTCAGAGGTCGTGGCAAGGGGCCGCGTCTCCACCTGCTGCTTCTGCTCCTGCAAGGACAGCTCGATGGCTGGGAGGGGGGGGGGGGGGGCAGAAAGCCTATTTTTATTGACTATTTCAACAAAAATAAAATCCAAAATCGTACAGAAAGGCTCCAGTGTGGAGGCCTCGCTTCACCTTTGGCCAGGTTGTCATCCTCCGACTCTTTGACGACAGCAGGGGGGGGCAACTTTGTGGAGGATCCCTGTGGTCGAGACAGACGGAAAGGTCAGGCGTGTGTGTGTGTGTGTGTGTGTGCGCGTGTACACAGATTAGTGTCTGGCTCTGCAATAAACTGATATTATACCTGGTTATTTATCCGCAAATACCCATGTAGATATGAAATCCTGCAGTACTTTGCTGCAGTAAAACACTGAAGTACTGCCAACATCACAACTTGTTCCGCTGATCGAGGGCTGGAAGGGGAGCAGCAGGGGCCTCCAGCGTGGAGCCCCCCCCCCCCCCCCCTGCGGTTTGCTCACCAGCTGATTCCAGATTAAATGCCACAGCCCTACCCGGTCTCCATTAGAGCCGGTGGGACAACGCGAGACACAGAGAGCAGACAATGTTCACCCACGAGGCTGAAGACGTGGTGATAAGTGTCTCATTAGAGAAAGGAGGGACGGAGGAGGGACAACGGACCAGAAATTGGAATCAGAATTGTCACTAAATACACATTAAGATAGTTTGATGGAGAAGACGTTGTCTTCAGTCCCACAGCAGCTCTGTCAAGCCGATACGACATCACAGCCAATCAGATCCATCCACGCTCGCGTCTAAAGAGCCAAGCTCAACAATAAAAGATGGCGGACCAAGCGTAGACTAAGGGGTCCCTGCTCCATCTGGCCATCAGTTTGGGGGCCCTGGCCTGAAAAACGTTGGAGACCCCTGATTTAGTGACTGATGGTCCATTTAGAGTCAAACAGACCATAGAGCAGGGGATGCTTTAGGGCAGGGCCCAACGCTGATTGACAGGTCTCTGACAGAGACACACAGCGTCTCCAGGTCCTCTCGGTCCATGTTGGGTCACTTCTCTTTGTCTGCTGCTCCTTCCGCCACACGCGGCGTGAAGGACGTACCTGCGAGGACGCGCTGGGGAAGACGACGCCCTCCTCCTTCAGAGACTTGATGGTGGCGCCGATCAAGCTGAGCTGAGGATCCTTCTGGAAGTCTTCTGCCCACTCCACCATCAGAGCCTTCAGCTTCTCACACACCTTCGGGTGGGCCTGCAGCACCAGACAGCACTTCATGAGTGTGTGTGTGTGTGTGTGATCTATTCAGAGCTCTTTTACTACTTCATTCATTATCGGCTCTGTGCTCTCTGACTCTCCTTAATGTACTCATGTACTTGTACAGCATGAACACTGATGCGTACTGGAGAGGACCAGCGAGGGACACCAGCATACGATGAAGAACAGCTCACGTACTTTGCTCAACGCGCTGCGCACTTCACTGGAAAACTCCCTCGAGCAGATTTCCAGGTGGAATATTTTGCCGCAGTTTGACACACAAGCGCCGAGCAGCTGCAGAAAAGGTTGTGGAGAAAGAAAGAGATCAAACCGCTGCTTTTATGGAACAAAAGGAGGAGGATTCATTTTCCACCACCTGGCATCAAGTAAGACCAAGCAGGAATTAATGGAGGGAGTTTTTTGGAATTAAAACGCCTTCAATGAGACGAGCTCGAATGACGCCAACAGATAAACAAAGAACCCCGATGACTCAAACTAAGAAGCAACGCTCTCATATCCGACATCCTCCGACCTCTCGTCAGATTACAGATTCACTGGGACTTCTCACACTTTAGAATAATTATTACTGATAATGTTAAATGCTTTTAGTTTTAAGGTTTTTCTTCATAACAAAATGCTCGATGTTGGTTGGTAAATAAATGACATGATGAGAAACAGAATGTGGACAGTTACGTTGTATCTAATAGAACCAAACGAAGCAAAGTTCCGTCTGTTAGTCCCATGAGGGGAGAAATAAAACCCAGGAATCACTGACAGTAAGACGGCGCACATCAACTTTCCACCCAGTAAGAGACAGTTTGAGGTTTTTAGCGGGTGAATCCATGTTACTCCGTCCTCTTGGGACTTCAGATGGTTTTGTTACCACATTATTAGGGACTCAATAATGTCCAGAGAGCGACTCACATTGACGGCCTGCATGGCCACGTGAGGCACTTTGTGGTTGACTCTCTTCATGATGGATCTCAGGCTGTCCTTCGGTCTGCAGCACAAGAGAAAGTTCAGCTTGGATTCATCCGACACGCACAACGGAGGGGAGGCCTCTTCCATCTTACCCGTTGGCCGTGGTTCCGATCTTATCGCAGATGTCCATGATGAGGCCCCAGTCGTCCGTCGTGTTGGTCTCATTGGTCGACTTCTCTGTAAACGTGGCAGACGCACGGTGAGAGAAACGCGTGAACATCACAGCGGACCCGAAAGCCTTTTAGAATGAGTTCGAGGGTGTAGGAGGGGAGAGCAGGCGTTGTAATTAAACATTTAAAACAAAGATTCGGCAAAACTCCCTGGAAAAAAATGGAAGCTTTAAATTGCAAATGAATTCTCTTATGAAAACATGCAATCGAGGTAAATATTTCCACAATAAGTGACATTCTGGCCTCATCTCCTCTTATTTGACCACTGATAGCAAGTAAATAGGCAGTAGTTACTGAGGAAAACATTGTAGTGTTTAACTACATTAAAGTGTCAGATTAAAGATTTGCACACAGATGAACGCTCAGCTCGGATGTGTCATGTTCTTTAACATGCACATGTGTATCTAGTGTGTCTGTGCACAGTGCACTTCTGTGTGCATTGTTAGTTTGATCCTTAACATGTTAAACGCTCGCTGTGAAGTTTAACACTTCATTTACACTCAACCATCACATAATGAGCTATTTAATAATATAACTAGAGAATATTTGGGCCGTTTTGCTCAGTTTAACAATAGTTATTAATTAATAATTAATTAATTAATAAAAATAGTAATCTGAACAATAACATTACAGCCTATTATTATTCTAAATAATGTTAACCTAACGTTAAATATCTAGATACCTAAATTGCGGTTATTGCTATAACATTTGTTTTATCGTTGACATTTTACATAAAAGACTAAATTAGCCCCCGATTGTAACGTTTGTAAAGTAAATAACCACCTGACGTCATGAAGAGGTTTGAATCCATCGTTAAGTATCCGAGTGGATCTTTACAAGCGATGTGTCGTCAGCCAGTTTAACGTTGACGACCAACCGATAAACTGATCGATAACCCGTTTGGATGCCGATGGCAACCAGACAGCAGAAGCATCGGAAGGCGTCTGAGTCTCGTGGATGTGCGAAGAAGTCCAAAATAAATAAACGTACGACGCCAGCAGCGGAATGAAAAGACAACACTAAAAGCTAACCTTAGCTTAGCTTCTGAGCTAACGTTAGCTTCGATGTTATTGGCCTGTTGGTTAGCCGCCGTTAGCTTCGGACAGACACACACAACGGAGAGGGAGATTCACTCACCGACATCTTGGTCAAATGGATTTTGGGAGAACAAAGGCATCGTGATGATTCAACAAACTGCCAGACTACTAAACAAAACTAAAGCCTACACAAATATCGCTTCCTCGTCCATTAGCTTTAAACTTCCGGTAACTTGGCTGTCGTAATCAATGCCTGAAGAGAATTACGAAATACCGACAGAGGGCAGCTGCCAAAATAAGTCGTATTCATATTCGGTGCAGTTAGATGTTTTTATTTTAGAACATTTAAAGTCAAGCACGTTGACATAAATTCCTAAATAAAATACTTAAAACAACTGGGACTTTCTTAAACACCGCTGTTCACACAAAGGAGAGAAGTGAAACACTGACATCTAGCGGAGAGAAGACTCATTTCATTATGTCCAACATGCGTTTATCATGTTACTCCAGTTAAATGATATACATTCAATTGTAATTATATTATTTTGTGAGTTTACACGGGTAGATTACCCAACAAATATGTTAACTGAGAGAAATGTACTGCCTTGCTCGAATGTAAAGTTTTGACTCAGACCAATACAATTATCCTAACTGACTAAAATAGAATTTTAAACATCACATTATATAAATAAACAAAAATAATTAGATGATCAACTTAAACTGAGTTCAATGCAGTCTACATAAACAATGCAATATGTTTATGTTGATTGTTTACAGCGTGCATTGCAACCACGTGACCTGACAAAGAGTATCAAGTTAGCTAAAGACAGTTAGTTTTTATCAGTCCTCAACAGTCTACTGTCCTATTCCAGTCTGTGAACACCGAGAGACAATCTAATCCACGCAAACATGAATGGTTAAAGCAAATAAAGGAATAGATGAAGCCGCATATCGTGCGGGGCGATTTTCAAAGGTGACGTTTCAGAGAGAAACGTCTCAAAGTGAAGGCGGAAGTACGCAGGAGTTCCTCCTCTCGCTTCGGGAGCACACTTCCGGGTTTGCCTCCTCCCCTGCCGCTTGTTTGCTTCCTGTCTGCGGTGAACCTGACAGCCGTCGTCGTCCAGGGTTCAAAGAGCGTTCGAGGCTTTCAGTCATGTCGGCAGCCGCGGCGGGGACCAGCAGGACGACCCACGGCGACGTGGCCGCGAGGAAGAAGAAGGGCCCCGGCGCCCTGGCCACGGCCTACCTGGTCATCTACAACGTTGTTATGACAGCAGGGTATGCGGCGTGTTCCGTCGTGCTAACGCCGCTGTGTGTGTGTGTGTGTGTGTGTGTGTGTGTGTGTTGAGCAATACATCATTGGCAGCCAGTTGCAGCGCTATTCTGCTTTGTGCTGATGTGCACGTTGTCTTTGGGAAACATTAGCATTAACGTTAGCATGGTGTGCATCAGATAATAGCTTCCCCCTACAGCCAACGGCTAATACGGATTAGCGTCAACCGCCTGGGTGCGCGCGCAGCCACTGTGACCCTCCTATCCAGAAATAATAAAGGGGTTAATGTCTACACCAGTTCCTATTAAAAATGCAGGGGAACACGATACATCTCATGTGAAAATAGATCAATACAAATACCCTTCTTCAAAGGAAGGGAAACACTCAAACTATATGACGATTTATCCATCTTGTTTTAAAAGTCGTCAGTGAAAATCCTGATGACAGAATGATTCGGTTTGGCTTTCTGTAACCAGTGCAGCATTAGAGCATGTTGTGATAAGTAGCTAGCTAACTAGCATGTGTATGCATGCATGCATGTGTGTGTGTGCGTGTATACGTGTGCTCTCCCAGGTGGCTGGTCATAGCTGTGGGGCTGGTCAGAGCTTACCTGGCCAGAGGAAGCTATCATGGGCTTTACTACTCCATCGAGAAGCCTCTGAAGTTCTTCCAGACCGGAGCTCTTCTGGAGGTGAGATGAGCACAAAGGGCGGCGCGCTGTACTCCGTCAACTACACTATGAACACACACACGCGCACACACGCACTACTTCAATGTTGTCTTTTCCAAAATCTTTTTTGACCTCATGACCCTTTTGTAGAGGTCTAGGTTGGGAAAGGAGGTTAGGGGGCAACTTTTGGCTGTTAGATTATAGTTATAATAGGTTAACCTCGCTATAATCTGCACATACACAACACTGGCGGCACTTTAGCAATATTGAATCATTTTTGTACGATAAAGAAATTAAACCGTCATGTACTTTTTTTTTTTTTTCAGTTTTGTGTTACAGCTCCTTTAAGAATGTAAATTGAGATTTCCTTATTGTCTGTTTCCTCCCTTCACAGATTGTGCACTGTGCTGTGGGTGAGTTTCTGTCACCATGTAGTAATGTTCAGGGGTATAAGTGCGTCTATATAAAGACACTAGTCAGTTTATTTCTGTATTTGGGCCACAGTTCCCCAGAAGGTTTGGCCCACTCAGAATGAACTGAATCTTATCAATTGATCATGTAAATACATCTCTGATTAATGGATTATTGGCACATGATATAAAAACAGTAAAACACTGTCTTTTATTAAAAGGCCCGTCAACGTTCCAAATATTAACACCCCCCCTTTCATTCAGGAATCGTCCCGTCCTCCGTGGTGCTGACGGGCTTCCAGGTCCTGTCACGGGTCTTCCTCACTTGGGCCGTCACGCACAGCGTCAGGGAGGTACGCCGGCGTCTCCTTTTCTACTTCCACTTTGAGATGCTGCGGGGGGGGGGGGTAATCGGCTGGTGTTGGGGGCGACCCCTGATGCTGCTGACTGTGCTGTTCGCCCTGTCGATAGAGACAAAGAGTCGTCCTCAGGAGTGACTTCAGTGAATGACGGAGGCTCCGCCTCCTCTCAGCGCCGCTCTCTTTACATTTAACCTCCCGTCTGCATCTAACGACCCGAGGGCAGCATCAGCACCAACACCGGCTACCCCCTCTCCCTCCCTACAGGAATATGTGTTTCCTGCAGAGCAGAGCGAGAAACAGCGTGCTACTTTTCGTGGCGCCCTGACCGGAAACGAGAATCATCGGCTACTCCTTCAACACCTCCAGCTGGCTCAACCCCCTGCGGTACCTCTTCAATTGCCCCAGATAGGAAACCCACCCCCACCCCCCCCCCCCCCCCCATGCTACGCGGTTAGCTTCAGCTGAAATCTTTGTTCTGTTAAGTGGAATCGACCCTCTATGGAATGTGCTTCCAGGTACACCTTCTTCTTCGCCCTGTACCCCATGGGGGTGAGCGGCGAGCTGCTGACCATCTACGCCGCGCTGCCCCACGTCCAGAAGACGGGGCTGTACTCCGTCACGCTGCCCAACAAGTACAACTTCTCCTTCGACTACCACGGCTTCCTCATCCTCGCCATGGTGTCCTACATTCCCCGTGAGTCGAGGGTTTGAAGGAAGGTTTAAGATGCTCAATCCGTTTTACATGATTATTCTAACATAATAACCCCCCCCCCCCCCCTCCAGTGTTCCCCCAGCTCTACTTCCACATGATCCGGCAGAGGAAGAAGGTGCTGGGCCACGTGGAGGACTACAGCAAGGTGGAGTAAACACCCCCCCCTCCACCCAACGGAGGGCCGAGGAACCAAAAATAACAACAGCCGGGAGATTTCCATCATGGGGACACTTTATTTGTTGTTGTTGTTATTGTTGTCTTTTAAATTTATGAACAATATTTGTATGTCGAGTCGGCGTGTCGATACCAGAGCGACTGCACCCCCCCCCCCCCCCGACTCACACTGAAACAGTAGTTTAGAAACTGGTTGTCGGTTGTGATTCTAGTTTGTTATTCTTTGCTCCGGATGTGTGGCTCATTTTTAATTTAATTCTTTTGTTGTCTTGTTTGCTTCAGAAGTCTGATCACATTCCTGATTTAAGTTCAATAAACCGTTTCCATTCTGTGGTGGTGTTTTCCATCTACTCGCCTGATCCTTCTGTACGTCCAGTCAGCTGATCCTTGTGTACGTCCGGTCAGCTGATCCTTGTGTACGTCCGGTCAGCTGATCCTTGTGTACGTCCGGTCAGCTGATCCTTGTGTACGTCCGGTCAGCTGATCCTTGTGTACGTCCGGTCAGCTGATCCTTGTGTACGTCCGGTCAGCTGATCCTTGTGTACGTCCGGACAGCTGATCCTTGTGTACGTCCGGACAGCTGATCCTTGTGTACGTCCGGTCAGCTGACTGTTGTCCTCTGATGTCTTTGTTGTATTGGTGGTTTGTACATTAATATCAGTGTGTTTTTATTTCATCGTCACGCTTTGTCTTTACATTTTTTAATTCCTGAGATGAAATCTTTAACATTTTTAGCTCAAACAAAGGGATTCTATAAAAGTTGACATTTTTCATTCCAGCGTTCGAGGTTAAAACCACTTTCAAGGACATTTAAGCCGTCATAATTAGGTTATGGGAAACGTAATAAGACAAGAACAGAAAGCACAATAAACGGTAGCAGAGTTTCTGGATGAAATTCTTTGATATTACATTACATTAATGCTGTGTAACAAAACCTCATTGTAGCTGAACATGAAGAGGATGTTCAACTGTATGGACTTTTATTTTGAAATGCCGAGTGATGAGGTGACTCTTTAGTGAGCTGCAGTCACAACTAAGAAGCTTCAGTACAAAGACACAACTGAATCATTCTGCTTTGTTTCTAAAGGTCATATTTGGTGCTTATTGATTTTGGGTGATGTTGCATTTGTGACATTTGAGTTTTTATGCTCTCATTTTAAAATATGTTTCAGCTGCTGTAATTTGACATTTTTATTAGAAACCTTTAAGTTTAAGTTGCTCTTCAAAGGGCCGTGTGCAAACATCACGTCATTACCAATGTGAAAACTAACAGGTACGTAAAATAAAGCTTAAAAAGTGTGACGTACGAAGGTAAAACTTTAAGACAATTGTCTCCTCTGATAAAGTTCTCTGATCTTTCACCAATCCTGTCCCTCCAAACTACTTTTTATTACCATTAGTCTAATTAGAAGTGAGAGAATGGTGTTATTGCATGTTGATAATAGAAAAGAAATAAATCCCAAACCATGTTTTTATCGAGGAGCAGTCCATTGAAATCCCAGAAGTGATCCTCTGCTAGAAGAAACAAGTGTAGCACTGACCTGTAACGTAGTCATGGAGGTTCCTCTCCAGTGGGACGGGATCTTCGCTCAGAAGAGCAGCTCGTTGTGGAAGAAGCTGCATGAAAGAGCGTGTTACGACGGAAGATGCCACATCTGTTGCCCCACAACTGGTTCTACTCAATAAAGTTCTGATACAAATGTATTGAATGGGCCCGTGTACAGCTATATTAATACTGAGTGTATTTACTATAAACAGATCATATGGAAGCATGTTCACAACGTATGTGACGGCTTCTCTGTGTCTGGTCCGTGTGGGGGCTCATCATCCCTCTCCCTACGGGGAAAACATGCATAACACATCTAACATACATACAGATATAACACATGCTAACATGCTAACATACATACCAGATATAACACATACATACACGTGCTAACATACATAACAGATATAACACATACTAACACATGCTAACATACATAACAGATATAACACGTGCTAACATACATAACAGATATAACACATACATAACACATGCTAACATACATAACAGATATAACACATCTAACATACATAACAGATATACACATACATAACACGTGCTAACATACATAACAGATATAACACATACATAACACGTGCTAACATACTACAGATATACACATGCTAACATACATAACGATATAACACATACATAACACGTGCTAACATACATAACAGATATAACACATGCTAACATACATAACAGATATACACATACATACACGTGCTAACATACATAACAGATATAACACATACATAACACATGCTAACATACATAACAGATATAACACATACATAAGACGTGCTAACATACATAACAGATACAACACCAT